AGTAGAGACGGGGTTTCCCCATTTTGGTCAGGCTGGTCTCCAACTTCTGACCTCAGGTGATCCACCCGCCTCGGCCTCCCAAAGTGCTGGGATTACAGGCATGAACCACCATGCCTGTCCCCATAAATTTTTATTTTTGTTTCAAGCCACTACGTTTTGGGCTAATTAGCTACACAGCAATAAATGGAACAGCAACCATGATAGTAATAGCAGATTTAGACAAAAGTCCTCAGTGGATGCAAGCAGTAATGGGTAAACTTTTAAGGAGGAGTGAAGACTTAAGTGTCTCCTCTCCAAATATTTGTTAATTACTGAGGGAAAAATGGTAACTTCACAGTGGCAGATTCTGGCAGAAATCAATTTAAGTGATCAAAATCAGCATCATATTGCAACAAATTAACATTGTACGCATCAGTATGCTGGCAAATGTGTAACAGCTGGCTGGTGGGGACATGGATTTGTAACATTTGCTGATTTTTGTGGCACAAAACCTCCCAAAAGCCTGGTGGCATGGCTCATGCCTGTAATCCTAGCACTTTGGGAAGCCAAGGCGGGAGGATGGCTTGAGGCCAGGAGTTTGAGACAGGCTAGACAGTATAGCCTGATCCCATCTCTACAAAAAGTAAAAAGATAAAGAAAACTCAGCCGAGGTGGCGGTGCACCCCTGTAGTCCCAACTACTTTAGATGCTGGGCAGGAGGATTGCTTGAGCCCAGGATGTAGTGGCTGCAGTGAGCAGCGATCTTGCCACTGCACTCTAGCCTAGGCAACGGAGTGACACCCCTGTCTCAAAAAAAATATATATATATATATATCTATCTCCCATCAGGACCAATTTCAGACTCCTAAAGGTTTAACAACAAGCTGGAAGTGTAACACTTGACCCCATTCATGTGCCCCTGATGTGTACACTGAGAAGGACAAAGCCTTGTTGCTAAGGTGCTCCTCTCAAAAGTGTATCCCCTGAGCCTCTTCCTAGGGAAACATTAGAGGAACCTGAAATGAGGGATAGTCTGTGAAATAACTGGCCTGTACTCTTCAAAAATGAGGTTCCAAAACACAAAGGAAGACTAAGAAACTGTTTCAGACTGAAAGAGACAGGAGATTTGACAACTAAATGTAGCTTGTGATCCTGGTTTGGGTTCTGGACCAAAAACAAAACAGAACAAAACAAAGCTCAGCGGGGCCAGAGCCAGATACTAGCATCTTTTCAATGTTAATAATTTTCTGATTGGGATGGATGTGCTGTGGCTCCGCAGGAGAATATCATTGTCTTTAGGAAAGGCACACTGGAGAATCTAGGGATAAAAGGCATAATACCTGCTACTTAGTAGTTAGAAAAAAATAGGATATATAGAGAGAGAGCAATTAGATAGAGACAGAGAAAGAATGAAATATCGAATTAAATGTTGTAAATGTTAATAACTGGGGGAACCTGGGCAAAGAGAATGTTAGAGGTTTGTGTTGTTGTTGTTATTTTTGTTTGTTTTTTGAGACAGGGTCTCCCTTCATTGGCCAGACTGGAGTGGAGTGGTGCAATCTCAGTTCACTACAACCTCCGCTTCCTGCGCTCAAGTGATCCTCCCACCTCAGCCTTCTGAGTAGCTAGGACCACAGGCACACCCCACCATGCCCAGCTAATTTTTGTATTTTTAGTAGAGATGAAATCTGGCCATGTTGCCCAAGCTGGTCCCAAACTCCTGGGCTCAAGCAATCCACTCGCCTCGGCCTCCCAAAGTGCTGGGATTACAGACGTGACCCCCTGTGCCTGGCCTGGTAAGAGTTTTTTGTACTATTCTTGCAACTTGTTTGAAATTATTTCAAAATGATCAGATAAATGCTCCGTGGACATTTAGTTCAATAGGACTAGGCCTATGCAATGAGGAATAAAGTCAAGAAGAAAGAACTGGGGCCGGGCGTGGTGGCTCACACCTGTAATCCCAGCACTTTGGGAGGCCCAAAGTGCTGGGATTACAGGCTTGAGCCACCACGCCCTTTGTACTATTCTTGCAACTTGTTTGAAATTATTTCAAAATGATCAGATAAATGCTCCGTGGACATTTAGTTCAATAGGACTAGGCCTATGCAATGAGGAATAAAGTCAAGAAGAAAGAACTGGGGCCGGGTGCGGTGGCTCACACCTGTAATCCCAGCACTTTGGGAGGCCGAGGCGGGCGGATCATGAGGTCAAGACCAGCCTGGCCAACATGGTGAAACCCCATCTCTACTAAAAATACAAAAGTTAGCCGGGTGTGGTGGCACATGCCTGTAATCCCAGCTACTCAGGAGTGCACTCCAGCCTCGGTGACAGAGTGAGACTCTGTCTCAAAAAAAAAAACAAAACAGAAGGCAGAACTGGACACAAAGGCAAGACTATTGCTGGTTCATTTTGCCAAATCATTTGCCAAATCAGCAAGTCCAGGCCAGAGGCTGTCTGCGTCTGCCTGTGCTGGAGGTCCCCTGCAGCCATGGCAACGTGCTACAGAAGTCCATTCTGCTAAAGTCCATCTTTACTAACTATTAAATGTAAGTTAGTGGAGTTGGGACCTAAAAGAGATCTTCAGGGATTGGGTAAGGCACTGAATCACCTGCAGAGTTAGACAGGACTCTAGAGGTTGTCTTCTTCCTCCCAGGCACAGCTTGTGGTTGCTGACTCCTGGTCGCAAGGCTTTTACCAGTTCCCGGAATCAAATGGTGATAAACTAGGAACGGAGAGAGGGCTCGCCGCTGCCTGAGAGCTCCATACAGGTCATGGAAGATGGCTGAGAAGACATTCGCATCCACCTGGGGCTTTTTTTTTTTTTTTTTGAGACGGATAGTCTGGCTCTGTTCACCCAGGCTGGGAGTGCAGGGCCCGGATCCTCAGCTCACCTGCAGCTCCGCCCCCCAGTTTTACGCCATGTTCCTGCTCAGCCTCCGAGTAGCTGGGACTACAGGCGCTCCGCACACTCCGTCCCGGCTAGTTTTATGCTATTTTTTATAGGAGACGGGTTTCACCCCGTGTTAGCCAGGATGGTCTCGATCTCCTGACCTCGTGATCCGCCCATCTCGGCCTCCCAAAGTGCTGGGATTACAGGCTTGAGCCACCACGCCCGGCTGCCGCCTGGGGCTTTTAAGGAATTCTTTGATTCCCTGCCATCCTTGAGTTGGGTGAGGACAGGGCTGGTTTCTTGCATCCTGCTTCCAAGGCCAGGTGAGGAGCTGGACTCTGATCACACCAGGTCTTTTATTTGGGGCGGCTCTGCTCTACTCCCTCCTGCCTCGGCTGCTGGCTGAACAGACACAGTGACAGCCACTCATTCAATGCATTGTTTATTGAGTCCTAACTAGCTTTGGGCCCAGGCTCTGGGTTAGCAGCACGCGTGAAACAATCAGAAACAATCATGAGTGCCTGCCCACATGGGGCTTACAGTCTCGCAGGGCGAGATTGTAGACACAGAAATAAATATCTGATTATAAATTGTGATTCGAGGCATGACAGAAAAGAGCAAGGCTCCCTGAGAGAAACAGGACGGGCATAGGAAAACTTCTCTGAGACAGTGACATGAACCTGAAACTTGAAGGGTAAAGAGGAGTGGGCAAGACAAAAGGGGAAAGAAGGAATGTTCCAGGCAGAGAGAAGGAGAAGAGACCCAGGCACAGTATAGAGCCGAGGACATTTGAGGAAGAAAGGGCCGCCGGGGTCAGGGCTCTCAAGGTGACTGGGAGAGGAAGGCGCTGGAATGGATCCAGATTAAATCGGATGCTGTATGCCCTGTGGAGACATGGGGTGTTCCTCTAAATGCACTGGGTTGTAAGCAAAGGAGTGACCTGATTTAATTTGATATTTTAAGTCATTCTAGGCCAGGCGGGTGGCTCACGCCTGTAATCCCAGCACTTTGGGAGGCCAAGGCAGGCGAATCACGAGGTCAGGTGTTCGAGACCAGCCTGGCCAACATGGTGAAACCCTATCTCCACTAAAAATACAAAAATTAGCCAGACATGGTGGCGCATGCCTGTAATCCCAGCTACTTGGGAGGCTGAGGCAGGAGAATGGCGTGAACCCGGGAGGCGGAGCTCGCAGTGAGCCGAGATGGTGCCGCTGCGCTCCAGTCTGGGCGACACAGTGAGACTCCGTCTCAAACAAAACAAAACAAACAAACAAAATGCCATTCTACTCTGTGAAAAATGAGCTGGAGGAGGCAAAGGGAAGAAAGGGGAGATCAGTGAGGAAGTGTTGTCATAGCTCGGGCAGGAGCATGGTGGCTTGGACTCGGCAGCAGCGTGTAGGTAGAGTGCCACTGTTGGAGTCCGGATGCGGGATGCGTTCTAATGTAGGGAGTGGGGGACAGCGCAGCATCAAGACTTGCACTGAAAATTTCTGCTTTGAGCAACTGGGTGGAACAGATGGAGGTGTCCTTCACCAGCTATGGGAACGGCCAGGGAAAGGTTTAAAGGGCTGAGTGTGGTGGCTCATGTCAGTAATCCAGCACTTCAGGAGACTGCGGCAGGAGGATCACTTGAGGCCAGGAGATGGAGACCAGCCTGGGCAACGTAGCAAGACACTCTTTAGAAAAATTAAGATAGAGAAAAAGAAAGGTTTAAAGGGAAGAGACCTGGCTGGACACGGTGGCTCAAGCCTAATGATTCCCCACATTTGATTTATGCACTTGGCGGAGCTCAAGGAATCTCAGA